GTGCGGGGAGAGTCCCCAGAGCTGCCCCGTGGCCATGTGAGGGGAGAGTCCCCAGAGCTGCCCCGTGGCCGTGTGACGGGAGAGACCCCAGAGCTGCCCCGTGGCCGTGTGCCGGGAGAGACCCCAGAGCTGCCCCGTGGCCGTGTGACAGAAGAAGGATATCATGCCTACCGAGACCCACCATGGAAGACCGAGAGTGATGTGAAATGCAGGGCTTCGATGAAGATCTTAAGAGCAGCAGCCATTCTGAATTTTGGCTGTTTTGCATTTTGAATTGATTCTCCCCTGAGCTCGTAGCGATGGGGCCCTATTTATTGATTAATTCTGGTTGATCCTATTGAGCCAGATTGGGTAGGCCAGGAATCGGCAGATAAGATTGGTGTTTTAGGGACATCTGACTGGCTGCCTCTTCCTCCAGATCCGGAGTCACGTAAGAAACCCATCCAGAGTTAGAGCTAAATATGAGTTTCTTGACGTGAAGGCTGTCCTCGAGAGCGTGGCTTAGATACTCTGGGAGAAGTCTGTGCCCTGGACTCTGCGTATTGGATGGTGTGTCTGCAGAGCAGACCCTCCCCCACGGCCACACGGAGGCCTCAGACCTTGGCTTTTAACAGCCAGCGAAGAGACTGGTGACTAGCCGTAGCCTGGACATCGTGTCTCAGCACCGCGCTTCTTCATGTGTGGTCTTCAGGGCTGCCCTGTCTGTGGCTCTGGTTCTCAGAAGGATTTCTGAACCCTGGGTAGCAGGTTTTACAGGTGCACAGGGCTGCTGTTCTGGACATAAAGGAGGGATGGCTTACTGGATTGAATTTTTATCCAACTAAAAATTCCTAGGTCATTTCTGACTATTCAGATGTGTGTGGGTGTATTTATTTTGTTATAGGATGTGTGTGCTTGCTGGAGAGAGAGAGAGAGAGACGGGATGGCCATCCTGCAGTTCCTTCTCCATTCTTTTCTCGGGATTTCGGGCATGCGTGCACATGTGCTGGGTGTGATTTTAGGCCACTGGGTCCAGAATTCAAACTCCAGAGTCAGCCCTGTGGGATCCAGCCACCTTAACCTCCATGGCACCTGCTAGCAAGACAAATTGGATTTTTTTATAGTGAGAGTATTTGTACATTTGAAAAGCTCATGCTCTTCATGCTCATTAATTAGTGAGCTAATGAATGAAGTCAAGCTATATCACAGACCCTGTTTCTTTCTCTCCGTTTTGCAGGTTGAATATAAGCTGGGATTCCAAGTAGACAATTTTGTGGCTATGGACATGCCCCAGGTCAACATTTCTGTTCAGGGGGAAGTTCCACGCACTTTATCAGGTGAGTAAGGGTCTCAGACAGAGTTAACGCACTGTCTCTGCTGTGTCCCCACATCCCCACAGTGGCAGTCGGAATACTTTAGTGTGTCCACTTGGTAGACACACCCCATACAAGTAGTTGGAGCGTCATTTTGTGCGGGCGCTGTGCACCTGTTAAGTACCCTCTTCTCCCTCCTGCAGCTGACCACTGCCTGCGCTCAGCCCTTCCCTCTGCATCACTGGCACTGGGCCCCAGTGAGTCCCCGTTCTGACCGCGGTCCCCTCCATTAATCCCACGTCTCAGGTCAGCCAGTGACGTGGAGCTGAAGGCAGCTGCACCCACGTGGCCAGCTGTGCGATTGAGTTTGGACCCCGTGGCTTGAAAGAGGCACGGGCGTGTGGGCATGTGTGCCCGACATCCCATAAGGAGAAGTAGAGGAGCGGGCATGGCAGCGTGACATCCCCTGTCGGGGGTGCCTTCTCACTTCACCTCTCTGTCTGTCTCTGTCTCTCTCTGGTGAGTGCACGTGCCCTCTAGCAAATTTTTAAAAAGCCCACATCTCACAGTGTGGCCAGGTGGTCACTGCGCTCCCACACCTGACCACATGGCATCAAGCCCACCAGCGGCCCCCTTCTGTCAGCCCGGGCACCGGAGGCTTCTCTGCGTGCCCTTGCCCCAGTGTTCGGCAGTTAGGCTGCAGCAGTTCGCATGTGCTGGTTCAGGTACTTTCAGTTACTTGCAACTGTCTTTTCCTCATCCCTGCTTGTAAATGCCTAATTATCCTGCTTATCCTGCAGGTTCAAATCTGCCTCGTCCTGTTCTTGTTCTCTCCTTCCGGTTGTTAACTCTGGTTTCTCCTTGAAGATTCCGTAGGCCCTCGTGTCTGACTGCGCTGAGCTGATTATACTGTCTGGTGATTCCTCTGGTGGTTGCAGGGCATCTGGCCTGGACAGGCATGAGCTCTGCGTCTTATCTACACCATTAACTCCTGTTGAGCTCTGTTTTAGAAGGGCTCTCAGAGATGTGGAGTTTAAGGAAAGAGAAAATGTTAAGAATTGAAGCTATTCTCCACAGCAGTGCTGTGGAGCTCTTTCTGTCAGTCTTACTTACTGTTAGTGATTGTGCATTCATCTAAGCTTTAATTAAAGCCACAGGAAGGGTGGTTAATTTTCGTGGGCCAGTAAAAAAATTAGAAGTGCCTGTATATGTGGTAAAGTGGTATGTCCTAAATACATAGAAAAAGAATGTTAAACTACAAAATTGAAAACGTAAATGCTCATTAAAATCTGTTGTCCCATTGCTACAGTTCATGATGAAATCTAGCTTTTCTCCCTCTCTCTTTCTCCTCCCTCCTCCTCTCTCCTCTCCTCTTCACAGTAGAGGGCATGTGATCGCCAGAGAGACAGACAGGAAGAGAAGAAAAGTGAGAGACCCCTCCCTGTGGGGGGATGCCACGGTGCCTCCCCTGTCAGTCCTTTTGGAATAGAGCTGACTTAAGTACCACGCCACTGGGCAGTGCAATTAAAGCCAGTTTCTTTTTAGAAAGGTGTTTTTTAATTCATGGTAGAGAATTTACGAGCTTCATTTACAGTTTTATATTTAATCTTCTCATTAAGAGCAATTACATGATAGCTTTTGATAATGAAGAGTCTTTTTTTCGTCATGTGATTTCGTAGTTACTAATGTGGCTGGGAAGATCAGGAGGGTTTGCCTTTTGCCTCTGTAGCGTTAGTGTTTGGAGTGGCAGGACTTTCCAGGCTAAACAATACATTAAAAACCACGAGTGAAAGTTTTTAATTGTCTCTTCTTTTGTGTCTTGATTTGTTCTTTATGTCTTGGTTTCTTCTTTAATACCAGCTAACTTGTGTTTGCAATGACTGAACATAGTACTCTGAAGATTAATTCCCAGAAAGCTTCTGTGTAATTTATTTAAATGTATTACTTTTGGTTTTATTGTGGCGCAGCTAAAATCATGCTAATGTGTTTAATAGAATCTTTATTGGACTCTATGTTGATTTTTTTTCCAGACAACTAAACCTTTTTTCTTTCTTTCTTTCTTTCTCTTTTTTTTTTAAACAGTGTTTCGGGTCGAGCTTTCTTGTACTGGCAAAGTAGATTCTGAAGTTATGATACTTATGCAGCTCAACTTGACAGTAAATTCTTCAAAAAATTTTACAGTCTTAAATTTTAAACGAAGGAAAATGTGCTACAAAAGTAAGGAACTTATTTACCAAATGTGTTTTGTATAGATTTGAAAAGGTTAAAAATAGATTTTATTGTCTTTTTACAGATTTATTTATGACTAAATCTTTTTTTTTTTTTTTTCTGAGAGTTTTTTGCTATAGGGTGTGTGTGCTTGCCAGAGAGACAGAAAGTGAGAAATCGTCGCCCCTCTGGGGGAATGGCCACAGTCCCTTCTCCTGCGTACTCCTCTTGGGATTTTGGGCACTCATGCATACGCACCTGGTGTGAGTTTTAAGCCACTGGGTCCGGGACTTGAACTGTGATTGACTACATGGGAGTCAAGTGATGTAATCATTACGCCGTCTGCTGGTCCCTAGTTATGACCAAGTCTTGACGATAGTAGCAAATGAGAAAGAGCGAGCACAGATGGAATTCTGAGATAATCCTAGAGTACTTTGCAGCCAGGAGTCTCACTTAGGTCCTACTCGGTTCCCATTCACTCCATTCTTCTCAGAATTACCAGAATGGGTAGTTTGTTTTCCATGAGGAATATGAACTCTTGGGTTGTCGGAAAAGTCACGATGTGTTTTTCTGTGTGAAAACGTGTCTTGATTTTTCCAGAGACCCAGTGATATCGACGTGTCTGAAAAGTAGAGGTAAGATAGATCAGGGAGAGGTTCCCAAGTGACTGGGTGTTACTTGTGTACAGAAGCCTCATTCTGGGGCCACAAAGACCCGGACTGGAAGGACTCTACTTGTTTGAGGGTATTGAGCATTTTATGTAACACCTCTAGGTTCAGTTTTGTCATCATTAAAATGCACATAATACCTGTTTAAGGGGAGATTTTTAGTTTGGTTTTAAACGATTAGTTAAATCTAGCCTAAAACTTAGAATAAATGCCATGCGTGGCTACTTAGTAAATGATAGTTTTCGGTTTATGAATTATATTACCAGTTACTCAGGAAATCACAGTGAATTCGAAAGAGTTCTGGTACACAGAGTCTTAGAGCAGAGAGTTCGAGACTGTCCTGAAAGGTTACCTAGTCCAGTCAGCTCATCGTTAAATTCCACAGGGAGTGACCTGAATTTACAAGGGCACATTGGTAGAACTAGTTAGTATCTAAATAGTAGGAAAAATAAAAGCCCAAACCCTAAAATTATTGGGCGCTCCCTGTGTTCTGAGTGTCTCACACGCATTACCCAGCAGCCCTGGGCAGTAGGTGCTCTTTATCTCCAGTAGCAAAACACTCACAAGATTGCTGCCGGCGTTTTGTCCAAGGCTGAAGTTTTCTCTTCTCTTTTTTAGAGAGGTTTTTGCTATAGGGCGCGTGCACTTGCCAGAAAGACAGAGAGAGACAGAGAGATAGAAAGCGAGAAATCACCCCCTCCAGAGGGCATAGCCATGCCGAAATCCCTGCTCCTCCATTCTCCTCTCAGGATCTTGGGTGCGCCCAGCGTGAGTTTAAGTCTCCGGGTACAGGACTCGAACCGCAGTCAACTACACGGGAGTCCAGTGACACAGCCATTACGCTAACTGCTGGTCCCAAGTTTTTACTTCTTCAAGAACCTCAGGTAGTTAAGGTTCAGAGACTCTAACTTACCAAGGCCGGGCAGCTGATTGGTGCAGCTAGCTTCTTTGTTAAATTGTCTCTTAACGAATTTCCTAATTAAAATTCGTGCCGAGTGTTAGGAAAACACCTAAGTCTGCGAGTGAGTTATAATGGCCAGCATCCAGACTCATGCCGATGGAGAAGCTGGACTGCGTTAGAAGAGACATTTTAAGGATGAAAGGTTAATTCCTCCTAACTTTAATGTTTCGACCCATTTTTCAGTTCTCGTGTGCTCAGTTACATTACTTCCATGTAGCGGCTAGCTCACCCTGGTCGTTACAGAACTGATTCGAGGAGCTGGGCCCTCGGGAGCCCGCCGAGGCTGCTCAGCCAGTGAGGAGCATAGAGCACCAGGTTCCGACCCCCAGGGAGGTGGGAAGGGGCTGCTATGTGGCCTCACTCTCTTTCAGGCAGGATGAAGGCCACACATGCTGTGCTGGTCTGTGGGTCCCAGTGCTAAGTAAGGCACACTGAGTTTAGTGACCAGCTGATCTTCAGAACGATCCCATACCTCAGCCATAAAAATAAGACCCTGACATTCGAGAGAAAGTGGACAAATGTGGGAGATTTATTGCTGAGTGAAACGAGCCAGGCTGTGAAGGAGAGATGCTGTATGTCTTCATATACACCAACTGTCCACACCCTATGGAAGAGACTAAAAGGTTGGAGGGCGTAAAAGCAGTGAAAATAGTTATGGACACTGGAGATGGTGTGGAAGGAGGTGGGAGAGGGGAGGAGTGCAGGGAAGGAAATCAGGGAGGAAACTAGAGGTAAGACATTTGTGGGGCACAGACATGGTGTATTACCTGTTGATGACATGTATAGTATTCTCAACTGAACTGCTCTGAGGTGTGTTTCATGTCGAATAATTCTCTTGACAAGCTAAATGATAGATAGCGATTGAATGTATAAAAAAAGTTTAAATGATCCCATAACTTCTTAATTTTCTTTAAAATTGTGTGAAAATTTAATACTAGAATTCTGTGTTGGTGTAATTTTTATTCTGTTTTGGACTTAACTGTAGTACAGTACTCTCTCATTATTTGGTGGTCATACTTTTGGCCACCCAATCATCCGTATTCATGACTCCTAACTTTATTTAGTATGCCATCCTAATTTTGTCTGGTCCTTCAGACTACTGCATTTTAAAAAGTGTCTGCAAACATGCACAGAAAATGTGTCCGTACTATACGGAACCTTAGTAGGTATAACTGGCCAGGGAAGGTTTCTACGTGGGTTAGAGAAGCTTTGCGACTCCAGAACTCCTGCTAACCTTTACGTCCTCCCAACGCGCACTGTGACCCTGCAGGGGCCACGCGGAAGACTGCTGTTCTCCAACTCCTTGACCACAGAAAGCCTTTCCCATTGAGCCTCTCTAAATAACACCAGCAGCTAATACTGTCATGCACTGCTGATTGGTTATTGTAACGATGATTAACAGATAATAACGTGTTGTAGCATGCGTTATCTTGCAATGTAGGGCTTGCTACTCAGTTTAGGCAGTGTTCTGATAGAACGAACAATGAAAACTCAGCAAGTGTAATTTAATATGTAAGGATTTTCATGGAAAAGAAGGAATTGACGCATCTCTTATCTCCTTTTTAATTTAGAACTTGAAGAAGTAAAAACTTCAGCCTTGGACAAAAACACTAGCAGAACTATTTGTAAGTGTTATGCTGTTGTCTTCATTATTGGGACTGAAAAATGGTCTACTCTATGGGAACGTGGTTGCATGACTCTTGGGTTTGTCAGGTGATAATGATGCCGTGCTGTTTTTTTCATTGCTGTTTTATAGTTTGGTATTAGGTCAAATGAAACTATTAGCATGTGGGGTATTTTGAGAAGTAAAACTTACATATATTTTATAACATTAGCTAAAATATTTCTATAAAAAGAATTTATATCATGTCTTTTTGATTGGTCATAAAGTGTGACTATGAAATACCATCTATTAGGAGGTTAGAAAATCTGACGTGTGCCCGAACCCTTAGCTAATTTCATCCAGGTGAAATGGCAGGCATAAAGATATTATGTTATTGGGGAACCAGCAGTTAGCGTAATGGCTATGTCGCTGGACTCCCACATAGTCGACCGTGGTTTGCATCCCGGACCCGGTGGCTTAAAACTCACGCCGGGCACGTGTACGTGCGTGCCCAAGATCCCGATAGGAGAATGGAGGAGAAGGGATTGTGGCGTGACCATCCCCCCTGGGGGGTGATTTCTCGCTTTCTGTCTCTCTGTCTCTCTCTGTCTGTCTGGCGAGTGCATGCGCCCTATAGCAAAAACCTCTCCAAAAAAAAAATAAATAAATAAGATATTGTGTTATTTAAACGTTCAGAGCACAAACTCTAAAAAGATTTTATTTTTGGATATTGATGATGTGTAAGTACTCAAGTGGGCTTCTGTGTTCCTTTCTGACATAAATCATTGAGCCTTTCCTAAGATAGTGTAAACAGCAGTATCTTAAAGTTATACTAGATATTTTTTATGGAAGTAACCTTTCCCTTTTGCAAACTTTCAAGTGTATAGAAGAGTTTGTAATATGCTTTCATGAAGCTCCGTGTGCCCCCTCACAGCGTCAGTGCTGGTCCTCACTCTGCCGGTGTTCCTCTGTTGATTCCCGTCTCCTTCTGTGGTTGGCTAGGAGTTGGGTAGAGTGTTTTAAAGCACATCTCAGGTGTTACATCATTTCACCCTTAAATATTATAGTGTATATCTATTTTTAAAAGCCTTTAAAAAAATCCACAGACACTCAATACCTGTTCACTTAGATTTATCATATTTAACAGTAATTCTTAATAACTTGATAGTCGATCCATGTTCAAATTAACTTAATTGTCTTAGGAATGTCTTTATAGTTTTTCCCTCTGAATTAGGATTTGAGTAAAGCCTACACACACAGCTGTTTGTTGACATGTATTTTACATGAATAGAAAGCCACCCCTACCTTTTATTAATATCACTTATTTATTGAAGAAAGCCTGTTATTTGTCCCACAGAATCTCCCACGTTATGCGGTCTCGTTTCTGTTCCTGTAAACTGCAGTTAGGTCTCGCGCCGGGCGCGACCAGCTCCTCCAGCAGGGCAGGGCAGGGCAGAGCAGGCAGCTCGCTGGGGTGCTCTGCCTGCCCACTTCCCTCTTTTCACCACCTTGGGGCAGAGGGTCTGATACCTCAGACCTTTTTGAAGGTAAAATACATGATATATTGTCTACGTGTTAGAATACTTCATTTGGATTTATTTCTGGAAAGAAAATATTTTAAAAACTATTGCTGCTCTGGGACCAGCAGTTAGTGTAATGGCTATGTTGCTGAACTCCCATGTAGCTGACTGCAGTTCAAGTCCCGGACCTGGTGGCTTGAACTCATGCCGGGCATGTGTGAGTACGTGCCCAAGATCCCGAGAGAAGAATGGAGGAGAAGGGATTGTAGCGTGGCTGGCCATGCCCCCTGGGGGGTGATTTCTCGCTTTCTGTCTCTCTGGTGAGTGCATGTGCCGTATAGCAAAAACCTCTCAAAAAAACAAAACAAAACAAAAAAACAACAACAAAAAAACTATTGCTGCTCCCAGAGTTCTTTTAAACTCTGGTGATTTTGCCCATTTCTTTTATGCTGGTAGGATATTTCTCACAAAGTGCAATGTTGAGTATTCTCAGCCTCTGCCTGCCTGTCTCTTCCTCATTCCCTCCCACCTTCCCTCCTTACTCCCCGGCCGTCCACCCACTACTGAAAGCCTGTGATAGCCAGGCAGCCTGACTGAGCACACAGACCCTGCCTTCAGGGGCTGGCGGTGTAGCAGGAGGAACAGACCAGGCCGTAACAGGCAGACAGCAGAGTACGCAGGGTGAGCTAAGGACCAGAGGGTGGGGAGCCTCAGCCCCGGGGAGCGGACAGCTGTGTGGGCAACATGACGTCTGAGACCTGAAGGGGACTGGATGGTGGCCAGGGGTGTCAGTGGGAAAAGGGAACGTGCATTTGTAAACCTGCATGTTTCAGGTCACTGAGCACAGTAATTACACAGTAATTAGGGCTCTGCCCTGGAAGGTGCTTGCCCAGGGGCTCGCCTGCCCCTCCCAGACCTGGCGAGCTCTCCCATGAAGGGCAGCCGTTCCTGAGGGACGTCCTGTCCTTATTCAGGCACCAGCCAGGTCCAGCTGCCCTGGAAGCCAGTTGCTTTGCCTTAGTCTGTTCTAATTTATATGTTGATCAACGCTTAAATTTCAGAAAGCAGTTTCATATTCCTTATTTCGATGCTTCTGAAAGCTGTACCTTCTGTTTTGTCCTGACCCATCCCCAGTCTCCAGAGCTCCAGACTTGTGTGTTTGTCAGCCTGACGCCTCCGTGCGAATGCGTGCTAGCTTCTTCAGATTTAGCTCGAGCCGGATGAAGCTGCCGATTCTCTTTTTCCAACTTGCTTTTTAATTTTTTAAATTTTTACAGAGACACCATTATGCAAGTAATTCCTTAAGCCAAAGCTTCAGTTCTCTTTTTCTTTCTACCATAGTACAGTCCATCAACACATCTTTTCCAAATCCATTTATTTTTCACCTTCACTGTGACACTCTTGTTTAAGCTGCTGCTGGCTCTTGGACTGCCCTGGTGACCTCCTCCTCACTCCCTGTCTCTGTGCTTGCTCCCCACGGAGCCTTCTCCACACAGCACGCAGGCATTTATGTGACTGTGTCGTTCCTGCACCTGCACCCTAGAACGATGTCCATCTCGTGTAGGATAAACCCCAAACTCTTCCTGTAGTACCCGTAGACTGAGATACAGGCACTCATCATCTACACCCATGGAAGTCTCTGGTCAGACCAGGTCTGCTTCTGTTTGTATGTCTTCCATTCTGCTGTGCATGTCACGTGTATCTTTACCTCTGCTGCTTCTCAGGTGGCATGTGGGTATGCGCGCGTGTGTGTGTGTGTCTCCCACTGGGTTAGCTTCCCAGTTGCTGAGACCTTCTGTTTCTGCTTTTTAAATAATATAAAGCCAAATACAATTTTATTTAATAAATATAGTCTATTAAAACAGATAGGCAAAATAGTTTCTATTACTTTCAAAAGAAAAAAATGCTTTTTAAAAATTATAGCTTCCTCTGTTGCTTTTTTTCCCTCCCCCCTTTTTTCCTTCTGTGTTGAATATTCTCAGCCTCTGTCTGTCTGTCTCTTCCTGTTCCCTCCCACCTTCTGTCCTTACCCCTTCATTGTTCCTTAGCAACAAAAAGATGCCTGGTCCTTCTAATCCAGGCATCACTACTGAGGAAATACCAATCATCTATAGATCTGTGCTGTCCAGTATGGTAACCGCTAGACTCGTGTGACTTTTTAACTTTATGTTAATTAGAATGAAATAAAATTAAAGCTATAGTTCCTCAGGTATGCTAGCTACCTTAAAGTGCTTACTAACCACAGGTGGCCAGTGGTTCTGTATTGGACAGCACCCTGCAGAAGGTCTCCATCACAGATAGCTCTGTTGGTATATTTTATGTATACCACTTTTTTAAAAATACATTTAATCACTATACATCACTTTGCTTGTAAGTTGAATTTACCCAACATAAATACACTTCACACCAGTCCAGTTGAGGATACAAGGAAACAGAGCACATTATCAACAACAGATAATATTTCTGTGTCCCACAAATGTCCTGCCTCTCTATTTTCCTCCTTAATTTCTTCCCTTACCCTCTTTCCTTTCTCCCACCCTCTTCCCACATTGTCTCCAGAATCTATAACCCTTTTCAATGCTTCTGTGTCCCTAATCTCTCCATTTTCACCATAGAGTGTGGACAGTCAGTATATGTTAGGTGGAGACATACGGTGTCTTGCTTTCATAGCCTGGCTTGGTTCACTCAGCAGTAAATCTTTCATGTTTGTATACTTTCTATGAAATGCTAGGATCTTATTTTTTTAATAGCTGAATATTATTCCATAAAGTGTATGTGCCACACTTTTCCAGTCCATTCATCTCTTCATGGACATTTAGGTGGTTCCATGTTTTAGCAATTGCGAATAGTGCTGCAATAAACAATTGATGTGCAAACACTTTTCTGACTGAGCATTCTCCTGTCCTTTGGAGTGGGATTGTTAGATCATGTGGTAGTTCTATTTGTAGGTCTTTGAGGAGCCTCCATATTATTGTCCACAGAGGCTAAACCAATTTATATTCCCATCAGCAGTTATCTCATTATGGTTTTGATCTGCATCTCCCTTAAGGTGAGGGATGTTGATCATTGTTTTCATATGCTTTTTGGCTGTTCATGTGTCTTCCTTAGAGAGTTGTTTATTCAGCTTCTTTTCCCATCTTTTGTGCTAATCACTTTCTTTCAGATAAGCTGCCTGAGTTCTCTGTATATTCTATTCATCAGTCCCTTATCTGAGGCATAGTTTACAAAAATATTCTCCCATTCCAAGGGTTGTCAATTCACACTAATTACTGCTTCCTTCGCTGTGCAGAAATTTCTTAATCTGATGTAATCCCACTTGTTTATTTTTGGGATGCTTTAGAGGTCTTACTTAAGAAATCTTTGCCTACCCCAATGTCTCCCAGAGTTTCCCCAGTGTTTTCCACCAGTAGTTTTATAGTTGAGGTCTCAGGTTTAGATCTTTGATCCACTTTGAATTGATTTTTTGTTAATGGCGAGAGAGAGGGATTCAGATTCATCTTTCTGCAGGTGGATTCTCAAGTATTCCAGCACCATTTGCTAATGAGATTTTCCTTTACCCACTGAATTGACTGATAATCCTTTGTCAAAACATCAGTGGGCCGTAGGTTTTGGGGTTTATTTATGGGGTGTCTGTTCTCTATTCCATTGGTTCACATATCTATATTTTTATGTATACCACTTTTTAAGTGACTATTACACTCATTAACCAAAACTTCTATTAAAACGCCTTTTTTCAGGACCAGCAGTTGGCGCAAAGCTACTTCGCTGGACTCCCATGTAATTGACCGCTGTTCGAGTCTTGGACCTGGTGGCTTAAACTCATGACAGGCATGTGTGTGTGCGTGCCCAAGATCCCAAGAGGAGAAGGGATTGCAGCATGGCCGTCCCTCCTGGGGAGTGATTTCTCGCTTTCTTTCTCTCTCTTTGTGGCAAGCACATGCCTCCTATAGCAAAAACCTCTTCTCCTCCCCCCCCCAAAAAAAAACCCTTTTTTTTTTCCCCCAATTATTTATTTATTTTTACACTTTCCTTCAATTATTTACTTACCAAAAAATTTTTGCTCATACTCCATAGTTCTTGACAGTTAATAAACAACTTTCAAAATTTCAAAATACTACATTTTAAGAAATATTTTCAATATTATCTTTAAGTATTTTGAAAACTTTTTAATTTTTTAAAGAGAGAGATTTTTGCTCTGGGGCACGTGTACTCGCCATAGTGACGTAAACTGAGAAATCACCCGCCAGGAGAGATGGCCTTGCTGCAATCCCTTCTCCTCCATTCTCCTCTCAGGGTTTTGAGCATTCACTCACACGCACCCAGCGTGAATTTGTATCCACCAGGTCTGGGACATGAACCACATCAGCCATGTGGGAGTCCAGTGATATAACTATTATGCCATTTGCTGTTCCTTAAAACATTTTTTTAAAAACTACAACAAAACCATTAAAAAAATATTATGCGCTTATATTAGCAAACTACTGGTACCTCACGTTACCAAAGAACAGACACAGGAAATGGACATTTTCTTACAAAGAACAGGATATTTATTGTGTCTATTTGGTCACAAAGCAGTTGGTCGTGTTTGTTAAGTAAGCTGAATGTCCTGCTTTATTTCAGATGATCCTGCACATGCAGCTCCAACCACATCCACACGCGTGTTCTATATCAGCGTCGGGGTTTGCTGTGCGGTCATCTTCCTTGTAGCAATAATCTTAGCTGTTTTGCACCTTCACAGTATGAAACGGATCGAACTGGATGACAGGTATGGTACACATTTGGGGAAGAAATAAATACAAAAGCAGTTATTTGTGCTTGTGTGAGAACCCACACACCCTCATGCACGCTGGTTCTTCGTGTTTCTCTGATTTTATTTTTTTTAATTTGCACAGTTAAAAAGTAGTTGTTAGGAAAGAAGCGTAATCCATGGCCTTAGATATGACTCGACGCCATTTTTAAGCAGCGTTGCTTCTTCTTGTAGTTCCTTCCTCCCTCAGTTTCCAGCTTTCATCTCTCCGTCCATCTAGTAAAATTTACTGAGCACCTGCTGGGATTTAAAACCTTGGTTCTCAACCTGGTTCCACATGAGGTCGGTAACACCTGGGTCGTACCAGTACTTGGGTCCCATCTTCTGAGATTCTGATGTAACAGATATGTGTTTTGGCGTCAGGTTTTTTTTTTTTTAAGAGATGTTTGATATAGGGTACATGTGCTCGACAGAGAGAGACAGAAAGCGAATAATCTCCTCCCAGAGGGATGGGCACACCGTAATCCCTTCTCCATTCTCCGCTCTGGATTTTAGTCACATATGCATATGCACCTGGCACGAGTTTTAAGCCGCCGAGTCTGGGACTTGCACTGCAGTAGACTATGTGGGAGTCCAGCAACGTAACCGCTATGCCATCTGCTGGTCCCTGGGCATCAGATTTTTTTCTTAGTTTCCTGGTGAGTCTAATGTCAGGTTGTTTGATATGCTCAATTCTGAGAATGTGAAAATGAGTGATACACTTCATCGCGTCAAGGATGTAATCTGTAACGTTAGCCCATAATGATGAAAGCGTATAAATGTGATGATTACGCTGTCTAGTGTGGCATACAAAATGTGCTTGTTGCAGCCTGAGTGAGTCCGAGCCGAGGAGGACGTTGTGGCCAGAATTGGGGGAGGAGGAGGATGGAACGTTGGGTTTATTTTCACAGCACCCCGCTCTCGCTCGCTCCTCAGCGATTCCCAGTTGCTGATTGAGGACATTGCCAGCTCTGTGACTTGACGTCCACAACCTTCCTTACGTGGGGATTTCTCTCTCACTCGCTGAGCCTTTTCTCCCCATCTGGCCATATCCTTCTGGTGGTGCAGGAGTCGTGTAGCGCTCTGCGTTGCAGGAAGCCAGGTCCAGGTCCGCTCAGGCATGCCCGGTGTGCACGTGCAAGTGCACACTATCCTGGCTGAGAGGAGAGGACGGTGGCATGAGACGCTGGTGCAGTGCCCGCTTTTCCATCAATCGGTACCTCTCTCTCTCTCTTTCTAGCTCATGAAGCGAATATATAAGCTTTTTAAAAAATGATTTTGTTTCTCACTTTTGCCCTACACTTTGCTCTTTCAGACATTCGCTCGTGTTTTCCCTTTGCCCACAGAGCTCCTGCAATTTCTATCCATCCAAGCCTTGTCCGTCTTCATACTGCAACTCCATTTCCATCTCTTCCATGAAATCTTTTCTGAGCCTCCTAACCCTACATCTCTCTCCTCTCTGTCTCTGTAACTGTTTTTATTTTTTGGTAGCAGTTATTATGCTCTTTCCTTTTATAACTCGTTGTGGTGTTCTTGTCTTTCCTACTAGAACATAAGTTCTTTCCAATTAGTGAGCAGTGTGTCTTACTCCTTGCCGAATTCTCACACTTAACAGTGTTGTACATACCATGGGAAAGCACTTTTTGTTTTTTTTCAATTAAAATTTTTTTTATAGTTTATTATTTATATAAGCAGTCATTGTATATCATTACAGCATGCAAAATTAATTTTCCCTGCATGAATATACTGCATATTACTCCAGTTGAAGATACTGGGTTGTTAGAAAAGTTATGATGTGTTTTTTTCTGTTTTTCTTGCAGAAATGTGTCATGACTTTTCCAACAACCCACTATTATCATCAATAGATAATTTTCCATTTTTCTGTCCTTAAAATAACTTTTCCAACAACCCACTATTATCATCAATAAATAATTTTTCATTTTTCTGTCCTTAAATTGCTTTGGATCTTTCTTTTTCCCCTTGATTCCCTTCCTCTCCACTCCCCCCATTTCCCACCCTATTATTCCATACTGTCCCTAGTATCCACAGTTGTTCTCCATGCTTTTGTATCTTCTAAGCTTTCAGTTTCTGCCATAGAGTGCAGGCATTTGGTGTATATTGAGTGGGGACATACAGTGCCTCTCTTTCATAATCTGGTTTGCTTTGCTTAGCAGGAAACCTTCCATATTCATCTACTTCTATCAGGAGCCAGGGTCTCAATTTTCATGACTGAGTAGTATTCCATACTGTATAGGTACCACACTTTCTTTTTGGTTCATTCATCTGTTTGTGGATATTTGGGTTGATTCCATGTCTTAGCAATTTTGACTAATCCTGCAATAAACATGGATGTGCAAGTACTTTTCCTCCTGTGTCTATTTCTATCCTTTGGTTAGATACCTAGGATTGGAATGGCTGGGTCATATAGTAGTACTATTTGGAGGTCTTTGAGGAGCCTCCATGTTGTTCTCCACAGTGGCTGGACGAGTTTACAGTCCCACCAGCAGTGTAGGAGAGTCCCTTTTCCCCACCGCCTCTCCAGCACTTACCTATTATTTTTTCAGTCTGGGCCATTCTGATTGGAGTTAGGTGGTATCTTACTGTGGTTTTGATTTGCATATCCCTTATGATAAGGGATGGTAAACATTTTTTATGTGCTTTTTGACTGTTCATATGTCTTTCTTATAGAGTTGTTTGTTTAGCTCATTTGCTCATCCTTTAATTGGGTTGATCTTTTTTTGGGGGGGGATGATCTGCTTGAGTTTCTTGTATATTCTGTTTATCAGACCCTTAACCTGAGGCACAGTTTGCAAATATATCCTTGCATTCTGAGGGTTGCTGGTTCACTTTAATTATTGTTTCTTTTGATGTATAGAAGCTTCTTAACCTGATGTAGTCCCACTTGTCTATTTTTGAGATTATTCCATGTGCTTTGGGGATCTTATTTAAGAAATTCGGGAACCAGCAGTTAGCGTAATGGCTATGTCTCTGGACTCCCACGTAGTTGACCACGGTTCGCATCCCGGACCCGGCGGCTTAAAACTCATGCCGGGCACGTGTGCGTGCGTGCCCAAGATCCCGAGAGGAGAATGGAGGAGAAGGGATTGTGGCATGACCATCCCCTCTGGGGGGTGATTTCTTGCTTTCTGTCTTTATCTGTCTGGTGAGTGCACGCACCCTATAGCAAAAACCTCTCAAAAAAAAAGAGAAATTCTTGAGTTTCCCCTCTGTTATCCACTAGTAGTTTTATATTTTGAGGTCTTATGTTTAGATTTTTGATCCATTTTGAGTTGATTTTTGTTAATGGTGAGAGATAGGGGTACAGTTTCATCTTTCTGCAGGTGGATACCCAATTTTTCCAGCACCATATGCTAAAAAGATTTTATTTTCCCCACTGTATTGACTGATAGCCTTTGTCAAAAATCAGTTGGCTGTGTGTTTTGGGGTTTATTGCTGGGGTCTCTGTTTTATTCCATTGGTCCATATGCCCATGTTTTGGCCAATACCACACTGTTTTGATTATCACTGCTTTGTAATATATTTTGGGGTCAGGGACTGAGATGCCTCCTACTTCACTCTTGCACAGAATTGCTTTAGCTATTTGTGGTTGTTTGTGATTCCAGACAAATTCTGTGATTGTTTTGTCCAAATCTATGAAGCATATATCTGGTAATTTGATTGGAATTACATTAAATTTGTAGGTTAATTTGGGTAGGATTGGCATTTTGATTATATTAATTCTTCCAATGTAGGAACATGGGCTCTCTTTCCATTTTTTGGAGTCATTTTCAAAATTTCTTATTTTAGTTTTTGATAGTTTTCCTTGAAGAGGTCTTTGACTTCTTTGGTTAGGTTTTTTTCCCAGGTATCTTATACTTTTTGTGGCTGTTGTTAATGGGATTGCTTTCTTCAGTTCTACCTCAGTCTGCTTCTTGTTCATGTATAGAAATGGTATAGATGTTTGTATATTGATTTTTTTAAAGAATTATTTTATTTTACTTTAATTATTTTAATTTGACCAGGGAAGGGAGAGAGGCAGAGAAAGAGAGAGAAAGAAAGCGAGAAAGCAAGCCCCAGGTCCGGGTCTCCGCCATGTGAGAGCCCAGTGCCCCTAACCACCATGGCCTCTGCCAGCCCCTGTATATAGATTTTGTACCCTGCCACTTTACTGCATTCACTGATCACTTCCGGGGAGGGTTTTGTGGATTATTTCGGATTTTCTATGTATATAATCCAGTCATCGGCTACAGGTCATTTCAGTTCTTTGGGAAAGCATATTTACGATGTATAGGATGACAGGAGGAGCAGGGAGCTGTTGGAGGCAGTGCTGCCCCATGCTCTCCCTCCCTGCTGTTACTCCCTCACCTGAGGAGAGGGGAGAGGGCTCCCTCCCTGCTGTTACTCCCTCACCTGAGGAGAGGGGAGAGGGCTCCCTCCCTGCTGTTACTCCCTCACCTGAGGAGAGGGGAGAGGGGGATAAGACTGAGGAAGGAAATACAGGGACGCCGTGTTTCAGAACATGTTGATGTACATGGTGGTACTGAAGTTAGATGTAGATTGTACAGAGGAAGGAGTGACATTTGGAAACAATTGAGAGGAGAGAGAGGTAACAGTAACATTTTGGTAGGGCTTTGAAACAGATGCCAGTGTAGTTAGGTCACCGGAGAGCGTGACATTTAGAAGTCAGTCTTCACGCTCAGTTGTGTTTTTTCTTGAGTGCTTATGTGTGTGCTCGGGCTATGGACCCACATAAAACAGGGTTGTGCAAGAACTTTCAGATCCCACAAGGCGTGTGTAGATGCCTGCTCAAATAATGAGATCCCAAGCGTGCACCGGCGCTCTGTTTGTCCCAAGTTTTCAGGCCAAGGTTTCCGGGCATTGCGTGAATAAAAGCAGCTTACATCGTCACTTGTTTTTAGAAATGCCGAGTGGCTAAGAGCGTGGACTCTGGAGTAAGCCTCCCCCACCCCTTTTTTTTT